AAGCCTCTTGTTGGGTTTTTTCTTTATATTGATCTGCTGTCTGTTAAAATACAGCTGCTGCATATATCCAAAAAAGACCTGTGACGTGGACAGTGGCTGGTTTCTTCCCCCTTTGTTTTCTTCCTGTTAAGCTGTAGCACTAATTCTAGGGATTCTTGTGTGTCAGCAAAGCTTGGAGGCTGCTCTTCTCCATTCTCTTGGTCATTGTAGTTCCCTATATGAGCACTCTGCCAGGGTATTGTCTGTATAGCTACTGCTATTTCAACTAGTACGTGTTCCCTTGCAGACTCCAATGTTATACAAAGAATGACCACAGGCTTGGTTCAGTGGCAAAGGCTTGGCCAGGCTTATTACCGACAGAGCACCTATGCACTAGCATGCTTGTCCAGCAGGTAACAAGGTGTTAGCCCTGGATGCTTGTAGCAATATAGGCGCAGCTCACATTTCCATCCCCTAGGCAAATTTTCCAGTTTCCAGTCCCTCATACACATGGATTAGAAATTTTCTTTACGTCAGGTATTTACTTAGAAAATGGTAACATCTCTACCAAATTATCCTCATCCTCCTGCCTCCTGTCATTATCATGTGTGTTCTGGACTCTAGCAAAGCCTTTATGTGAATTGTTGTATATTCACTGATCAGTGCTTGTATTAATCAGTACTACAGTGAGGACATAGCATTGCTGTCAGCAGTAGTTTTCAGAGACCTAACTGGAGCCACCTTTCCCGGTCCTGTGGGCTTGTCTACCCAGGTAATTTAGTGCAGAATAAACTAGGGGGTGAACTTAAAGTGCAGCAGCAATGCTCGCTAATTTTCCATATGGACACACTTATTTCCTACCAAGGTTGCTTTTCTGTAATACAGGTAATCTAGTTACATAGCTTAATCCACAGTGAGAATGCTATTGTGCTGTAAATTCATTCACCTCCTAGTTTATTTTGCAGTACCTTCATGGTATAGATCGGGGCAGGCAGTTATTTCGGGCGGCGGGCCACTTACTGAGTTTTGGCAAGCCATCGAGGGCTACATGACAGGCATCCAGGGGCAGATAAATATTAATTTTCTAGATTTTTTAGGGACCCCGCGGGCCGGATAGAATGGTCTGGCAGCCCACATCCAGCCCCTGGGCTGCATTTTGCCCACCTCTGGTATAGATGGTCCCTGATGCTGACACCCTTCCTTCACTGCAAAAGAAGTACCTGAGGATGCTGTACTGTCCATTCAGTTCTGTTTAAGAATTAAAACTGTGGTCATCTGTCACTTTCTGGGTGTATCTACACTTGTGCTTTACTGTGGGGTTGACTAATTAGCTCTGCAGTAAAGCGTCATAGTCTACACATGCGCCAGTATTACACTCAGTAGAGTAATAAATTCCATCATAAAATAGCACAGTCACAGTACTGTCTTACGGCGGAGTAATTATGTGTGATCAAACTTGCATGTAGACTGTGACAGGGGCTGGCTGAGGCAAGGGATGCTAAAGTGCAGGGGCTGCCTGCCAGCTAGCCCTGCACTGTAGCACCGTCATGCCCCAGCCTGCCCCTCTGCTGCCCAGGGCTGACCCCCCAGGTCTGCTTCACCCCGGCTCAGACTGCTGTGGCCCTGAGCACACATGTAAATGCTGTGCTTTGCACCTGAGTTTGAGTCAGTTTAAATGCTCATATAGATGCACCCACTGTCATATAATTCGTGTAAACATCATTGACCCATTAGAAATAATGTATTTCCTAATGTTGTTCAGCTCAGGAAGCCTTCTCCAGAGCCTGGCAGATAATGTGCAACTCCTGTCCAACAGAGGAAGAGGGGATCCCATTTTCAGCTTCTGAAGTTGTAAAGAAAGGCAGGATAACTCCGCATTAAGTGTCTAATAGATGGAACTGATTTTTTATTTTTTTTTTAATAGTGATACTTAAAATGAGTTTTGCATTTCCCCTGCAGCCTATCAAATGTCCTGGTCCTACAAACAGACATGTAAGTGAGTACTCCCACTGAGTTCCTATGTATTAGTGTTTGTAGGATCACGGCCATTGCTTATAAATCTCTGCTGAGGTACAACACACTTCTCTAAACAAAGCTACATTTTGTAGCTGGTTAAAAGCTATTTACATGCTAATAATTTGTTATTCATTTCTACTCTGCAAGCAAATAAATGATACCAACTTCAGTAGAAAGTCCTAAGCCTGTGTATATATGTGTTCTGCTGAGGTAGTGATACCCCATTTTTAGAGTTTTAGCCTATGGGAGTAATTTAAACTAATATTTTTATTTTAACATATTTAAGAGGCTTCACAGTCTCATTTCACAATTATCATAAATTATGTTACATGAAATTACTTTAAAAACAAATGTGGGGTTTTTTTTCAATGGCAATTTAATTCTTTTAATTTTCTCCCTTTTTATAAAGATGAAGTTATAACTTCTCATGGTGCAATTGAGCCAGATAAGGACAATGTCCGTCTTGAGCCATACTCTTTGCCACAGGGTTTTATGTGGGATACTTTGGACCTGAGCAATGCAGAAGTGGTAAGTAAAACATTCTGTAGGTATGTACAGAATCACTGATGCCATGTTCTAGTTGACATATATGGGAATAAATCTTTTCCTGTTTTTGATGTGTATTTTTTCAGCTAAAGGAACTGTACACATTGTTAAATGAAAATTATGTAGAAGATGATGATAACATGTTTAGGTTTGATTATTCGCCTGAGTTTCTCTTGTGGTAAGTAATACGTTCTAGCTACTGCTTCTAATGGATTGCATAGTGTTTCATACCTTCTTAGGCATTAATTTCTAATTATTTTTGTGTCTAATTCTAGGGCACTACGTCCTCCAGGCTGGTTACCACAGTGGCACTGTGGGGTTAGGGTGTCTTCAAACAAAAAATTAGTAGGATTCATAAGTGCTATCCCTGCCAACATCCGGATTTATGACAGGTAAATTGCCATACCTCCTTTGCATTTGTACAAATATGAATAACTATAAACAAATAATACACTTTAAATGATCTGTCACTGCTAGTGGGAATTCTCTGACTGAAACAAATGATTGCATCTGTCAATAAAGCAGCAGAAGAAACCTTTACACAGGTCTGAAATATTTTAGAAGAAAGCTTCCTGAACTCTTACAGTGATAATCAACTGTAAGCATATATCCACCTCAGAAGCTTTCTGCTGTTGGAAAGCATAGACAGGCTTGGGCATTCTCTAACCCTTTGGAAAGTATGAAGAGGATAGTCAGTCAGTTACAGTTCCTTAGCAAGGGTTACCTTGTTCACTTGCCCTCAAACACACTGTACTAATGTACATACATAAGCCTTTGCCCAACCCCCAGAGATAGTGTAGCTTTGCTCACTCAGCGTCAAGTCGCTAGCCGAATCCTAACACCATTCAGACATGGCAACAGTAGTTTGGGTCAGAAGCAGAGCATGAAGAGGAGCATGGCCTGTTTGAAGGTGCTTCTGCCAGCCTGGTAAGTTTGCATTCTAGACATAGACTGTTTGTTGAGTCAGAGCACTAGAATCATAAACTAAGTAGTATGAGCTGTGGTATTTTTTCTCTTTCCC